TAATTCTAAATAGCTGCTATGACTTGGTTCTGTTGAGAATATATCTTATCCAAAAGAACCTTGACAGTCTTGAAATTAAAAATTGGTCAGAATGTTGAGAATATATCTTATCCAAAAGAACCTTGACAGTCTTGAAATTAAAAATTGGCCAGAAAATGAAAGATAAATTTTGATATTGAGATATGTAAAGTTTTTAATGAATTTCTGTATTTTTACAGTATTTCTGGTTACAATTTAATTATCTGATACTAATGTACTAAGAACTATTAAATTTATTTAGGTTGTTTAACAACAATAATTTTAGTATTTGTAGTTTACCATAAAGTCTTTGTTTTTTTGCTAGAAATAATTTTTGACGATATTTGATGACATATAATTTATATTTATGTTCATAATTTTTTTATTACTCACTAAAAATCTGTTTCATAATTATTGTTGTGAATAAAATTTTAAGTTAGTGTTAAAATAATTTTTTTTCTTTTGTTTAGTATTGTTTTAGAATTTTTTTTTTTCCAAAGTACAGTATATACTGTTGAAAAACTATCTAAAATTGAACTTTTTACTAAAATTTCAACTCTATACAGATTTTTGTAATTTAGAATAACTTTTTAAAAAAATCATATTTTAATTTGCATAACTTCAATTAAGAATGATTGTAGATCATTGTTGTTTTAACACTTGTTTGTAATTTTATTTAGTAAATGAGCTAATCACAAAACATCAACAGAAGATGGCAGAAAAGAAACTGAAACTGGACACCACTGTAAGCAATAATACTTTTATTATTTCATAGGTATTGTTTGTAGACAATATTGTAAACCCTCGATGGATTTGATATTTTCTTTCTTTACTTACTGCTTTTTAGTAAAAATAATGGATGTAGTGAATAAAAGACATATTGGTAAAGTTTTAATGTACTTATGCATTCTTTGTTATTAAGTTCTGAGTTAGATATTGGGGTAAATACAAACTTTCACAGTTTCAATTCTGACCGAGTTCTGTAAACAAATTTCTAAGTTAGTCTATCATTAATCCTACCAAGTTCTGTAAACAAATTTCTAAGTTAGTCTACCATTAATCCTACCAAGTTCTGTAAACCAATTTCTAAGTTAATCTATCGTTACTCCTACCAAGTTCAGTAAACCAATTTCTAAGTTTATCTATCATTAATCCTACCAAGTTCTGTAAACCAATTTCTAAGTTAATCTATCGTTACTCCTACCAAGTTCAGTAAACCAATTTCTAAGTTTATCT